AAAAAGAAAAATTCTGTTTCAGGTTAGGATTCCTTTCTTTCAGTCTATGCTGCCTCATAAGACACTTGGTACATCCATAAGGATCTGCTAACTCCACAAAAAATTTTTTGAGGTTCTTTTATAAAAGAATAGCCAGGTTAGATTTTATTTCTTATTTGATGATCGAATATTGTCTAATTGCCTCAGACGTTATTGACTCTATATAATAAGATGTTGATACAGAACTCCATTTGACTGCTGTTCAGTCATCCAGCCCCTCTTAACAGGGAATGTAATTTCTGGCTTTATTGCGGTAGCGTATGTGGTAGTTGGTGGCTTATGTGGTACAATCTGATTCCAGTCCATTTCTCTCGGTTCCTTGCAGAGGGTTTCCACATCATAGCTTTCCTGGCTGATTTGTCAGAAGCTAAAGGTAAACCTGGCAACCTAATCTACACTCATTCCTGGTGGAGTTTTTTTTTTGCATTAGGGCTTCTTTTAGCAAAAAGAGGAGGACGTTACTGCCGTTATAGTTTGGAGAGTCTTGGAGGTGCCAGTTCTCTTACGCGTATATCGCTTGTATAAATTCTGAGACAGTAAAAACAGCCAGAGCTTTTTATCCACTGTTTTTTACAAGCTCCAAATTCACCAGTGTGTTGGTGCAGTCTTCTAGAAATGTCATCGTGACCAACGGGACAGTCTTTGAAATTTCAATGAGAGACAGAATGTGGGTCCAACTGAGATTTTTTTGCCATGCCTCTCCCAGGCTCTGGTACAGTTGCTGTGAGAGTTCCAGCCTGGACTCAGCTGATTGCCATCTCTATAGTACCTTGTCTAACGATGACGTCCCTTCCAAGCCTTTTGTCAAGAACAAAGAAGTTACATGCTTATGTAACTGTTGCCTTATTGTTAAAACTTGCAGAAGCAATCCAGGTAGTCAGAGTGCTCACTAAGTTTCCAGTCTGACATTGTATTTTATTTAGCGTGAAAACCTTTTTAATTATGTCCATCGTGATAGGAAAACCAAAACATGTCTTGGGATTTGTGTGATTATCTAAAACTGTGATTGACATCTAGTGGAGGAGTCTGCAGATGTGGGGGTTGAATTGGCAGATAAGCAACACATTGCAGAATGAGAGTGTGTGAGTGTGAACAACAAACTACCTGGAGTCTATTTTCAGTGAATGACTAGAACAAACAGAGAACTTTGTACAACAGCAAAATTTCATGTGTAATCTTTCTTTTTCTGCCTTCCTTACATACTTCCCCCCGCCGCCCCCCATCATTGCTTTAGTACCTACCGCCTACGTAACAAGGCATATGAAGTGGTCCTTCTCTGAGAGTGACTGGAGTGACACAATTGCACACCACTGTAACACCTTATTGGAAAAAGAGTCTGGGTCCTGGAACCCTGTGTGTGGTCAAGAGGCCCCACAAGTCCATCTACACACATCTGCTTGGACATTGAGGTGCGTGTCAAGGCCTTGCACCTACTCTTGAAGTTCAGAGCAGGCTTGAGGCCTCCATCCCTCTGTGACTGAAATATTAGAATTTGCATTAAGATCTTGAACCCCTTTGGAAAATTTCAGAACCTTTTATTAAAATACTTGACAGATGCTTTTTCTTTGAAATGGCCAAAAACATTATGGCAAGTTTGTGGTATGTTTTCTGTATGTTACTAATTTTTAAAATTCAGAGAAGATTTGATTGCTTGCCATTAGTTCCATAAATTACCTAATACAGAAATTTTCTTCCTTGACGTGCTGTTGTTAGTCTAATCAGGAAGGAGAGTGGAAGCCCTTGAAAGGAATGACCTTCTTGGGAATCATCCAAGAGAAAGAATATGACTTCCTGGCTTTAGTGAGAGAGAACTGTCACCTCTCTCCTGGTTGTAATGTCTTCCTTCATTAGATTCTGCAATGATAAAAAACCAAACCACCAAAACCCAGCTCCCTCCACACCCCAGGTGCTTGATTGAGTAGTGTCTTTCAGAATTTAGCATATTGAAAATTTTTCTGTGCCGTCTTTTGTTTGTGAAGCAGCAGCAGGTTAGGATTATGAGCAGTGCTCATCTGCTCGTGCTGGACAGCTGGGACATGACCTGTTGGGTAAAGAACCCTACCAAATCTTCTTCTAACTAGTTCACAGAATTAGAGAATGATATGGGGTTGTAAGTGACCTCTAGAGATCATCTAGTCCAACCCCCTTGCCAAAGCAGGTCCACCTAGAGCAGGTTGCACAGGAACTTGTCCAGGCGGGTTTTGAATGTCTCCAGAGAAGGAGACTCCACCACCTCCCTGGGCAGCCTGTTCCAGAGCTCTGCCACCCTCAAAGTAAAGATATTCCTCCTAGTGTTTAGATGGAACTTCTTATATTCAAGTTTGTGCCCACTACCTCTTGTCCTATGCCTGGGCACCACTGAAAAAAGACTGGCCCCATCCTCTTGACACCCACCCTTTAAGTATTTATAAGCATTGATAGTTTTAGGTGGTGTTTGTAGCATGCTTACGATGTGCCTGTGCGTTACTTGGCGATGTTCTTACTGTGGTTGGAATGTTGGTCATTTCTCCCTCTTGTTTCTCTCAGCATAACAGATAGCAGGAATCAGTAATACTTGAAATCCACTGATCTGTGGCTTCCTGGTGAGAATCAAGATGGGTCACCAGTAACTAAAACCAACTGCCATTATATTCCTGGATTCAGATTTTGTCCTTCTCACTCTAATTGTTGGAGTACTACTTTCTCCACCGGCTCCCTCCCTTGCAGTGTGTCATGCCTTGCCCACTGCAGGACTGGGAAGGAAGAGGTGGTAGCAGGGACAGCTGCTACCAACAGGCCCAGGGAAGGGGCCCTACCAGGGATGGTGGATATGGACACTCAGACCACGTGCTCCACCAGTTTGTGTGTCTCCTACCACATCTAATAGCACGATTGGGCCAAGTATTTATTACCCAGCCAGCAGAGAGTCTGTCTCCCAGGTTTCCTTGGTGCTTACTTTGGGGTTCTGGACATGGCAGGGTGAGTGGCTGCTCTTGTTAAGTGACATCCTTAGGGATGTGACACCCTGTTGTCTACCGGTGACACTGAAGTCACTCATTATTGGGTGAAGGATAAAATAGTAAAAAAAAAAAAGTAATAACATGCACCCACCCCCAAGTATTAACTATATCATTACTAGGTTTAGAGAGGAGGATAAAGAAAATGAACTCATACACAGATCTGCCTATACCTTACATCAATTATAAGAACTTTTTCTTATTCAGGAAACCAACTGTGGGGATTCCTGTGCGACCTCGTGGATGTCAAAACCCAATATGGTGATCGTGTGAGTATGGCTGTCACTGGAGAGGTGGTTCGGGTGTTGTATTCCCTTTGTTTGTTTGTTTGTTTGTTTTTAAGAGGAGTTCCTTCACATAACCCAATGCCTTCTGGGATCCTGGTCAGAGTGAAACCTGTACCCGGCTCCCGAGGTGGAGGATTTGTAACTTTCAGGGGGGGATAAACATTGACATTCTTCTTAGACTGTTTCTCTTTAAGCTTTGGAAACACTGACGGTCTTCAGATGTGTTTCAGTGGAGACAGACACTGCAGAGGACTTGCAATGGTAAAGTTGGCGATCAAAAAGTAAAGGAATTCATATATGTTTATATTTTTATATATTATTTTTTATAGTATATATATTTATCTGAGGGATTGTTGTCCTCTGGCAGGTGCTACCACATTAGGCTGCAGATCGTCTCCTCTGGGGACATCTTGGATAGGAACAAGCTTTTTTTTTTTTTTCTTTTTTTTTTTTTCTTTCCCTGCCTTTCACTTTCCAGGCGTGGATCCATACATTTCCGAGCAGGCGCAGGAAGCCTCTACATTCATTTTCACCCCTTTTTTTTAAAATTTTTTTTCTTTGCTCTCCTCCCTCCTCCACATTTTTTTTGGGGGGGTGGGGGTCGGTGTGTGTGTCTCCCCCCTCCTCCCCCCTCTTCCCCGCTCCAGAGGCGATTCTTATTCTTATCCCTGAGGAAGTTTTAGGGATGTCCCCCCTGCACGTGGCAGGGATGCCTTTCGCCCGGCAGGTGTCACTGTGGGCTGCGGGGAGAGGGGGGGGG